GGCTGCGGAGAGAAGGCGGAGGGGGGGGGAGGGGGGGTGGGGGCGGCGGTGCCACCTTGGCACGTCCCCCGCCTGCCCCCGCCCCGGCCCTCACCGCGCCTCTCTCTGCTCTCTCCCGTTGGGCGCTGCCCGCCACAGTCTCCCCCAAGAACTTCAAGGTGAAGATGATCATGAAGACGTCTGTTCTGCTCAGCTGGGAGTTCCCCGACAACTACAACTCGCCCACTCCCTACAAGGTGCGGGCGGGCGCCTGGCGGGCGGCGGGAGTCGGGGCCCAGTCGGGAAGGTCTGGGGCGGGGCTGCTGCGAGGCCGAGGCCCCGGGGGCGCCGAGTTCAGCGGAGGGGGAGGCTCCGTCCAGGAGTAGGGCTCAGTCCTGATTGAGACTCCGCGGTGAGGGAGGCTCTGTCTGCGGTCAGGATAAACCCGGGACCAGGGCTCAGGCAGGGATGAGGACGTGGGCAGAGCCGAGCTGACCTGCGTCGGCCGCCCCGGCCGGGGCTCAGCCTGCGGTCGGGGCTCAGCCGGCGTTGAGGCTGTCTGCGGTCCACGGCTAACCTGACACCGAGGCTCCGCGTAGGGCAACGGCTCACTGGGGTCGGGGCTGAATGTGGGATTGAGGCTCGGTCCGTCAGGACTCGGGGCTCGGCCTGGGGCCGGGGCTCTGTCCAGGGCCCCACTGAGCCAGCACTGGCCCACAGATCCAGTACAACGGGCTCACACTGGACGTGGACGGCCGGACCACCAAGAAGCTTATCACGCACCTCAAGCCCCACACCTTCTATAACTTTGTGCTGACCAGCCGAGGCAGCAGCCTGGGTGGCCTCCAGCAAACGGTCACCGCCTGGACCGCCTTCAACCTGCTCAGCGCCAAGCCCAGCGTGGCGCCCAAGCCGGACTCCGACGGCTTCATCATGGTGTATCTGCCTGACGGCCAGAGCCCTGTGCCTGTCCAGTACGCTCACACCCCTCCCACCCCGCAGGACTCCGCACGCCCCGGTAGCCAGCCGCCCCCCCACGCGGCTTCTGCCTGTACGGCGGGGTCACACCTGCCGCACTTACGGGGTGGCCCTGAAGTGTGTCCGTGGCACGCAGTCAATGTGGCCTGTGTCTGCCCCCCGGCGCTGCCTGACCCGCCTCTGCACGTGGCCCCCTGCTGGATCTGGGTTCCCAGAGCCGGACACGGACCCACAAGCCCATGGCCGTAAACGGCACCAGGCCCGAGGTTTTTCCATGGCAAGAGGAGGTCTGTGCCTCAAAAGAGTGGAAAACTTAGGCTAAAGGAGTGTGTGGGCATGGAAGTTGGGGCTTCCACGGGTGTTTGATGATCAGAGCAGTTTCCTGGGAGGCCTTTCCAGACAGAAGGCGCAGAACACAAAAGCCCTGGAAACCTGAACTAGGGATCGCAGCTGCGACTGGGGCTGTCGGAAAAGACCCGCCCTGTGAGCGGAAGGAAGATTTCGAGAGGGCTCCCCCACACCCCCCAAGAGCGTCCTCCGGGCCTGCCGGTCAGGGTGACCGCTACCCCCCGACTCTCTGTCTCCCGACAGGAACTACTTCATCGTGATGGTGCCCCTGCGCAGGTCTCGTGGAGGCCAGTTCCTGACCCCGCTGGGCAGCCCAGAGGACATGGACCTGGAGGAGGTGAGGGCCCGCACCCGGCCTCCGGGGCTCAGCCGCGTTTCGGCGTTGGTGAGCTTGGAGGCTCCCGGCCGGACTCTGAGCCACCCGCGCCGCTGTTCCTCCTGGCCGGACTCTGAGCCACCCGCGCCGCTGTTCCCACAGCTCATCCAGGACATCTCACGGCTGCAGAGACGCAGCCTGCGGCACTCTCGCCAGCTGGAGGTGCCCCGGCCCTACATTGCCGCCCGCTTCTCGATGCTGCCGTCCACCTTCCATCCCGGTGACCAGAAGCAGTACGGGGGCTTTGACAACAGGGGCCTGGAGCCTGGCCACCGATATGTCCTCTTCGTCCTCGCCGTGCTGCAAAAGAGCGAGCCGGTGAGTCCTGGCATCTGCCCACACCTAGCCTCTCCCGGGAAGTGAGACCGACCGCGTGGTCTCCCCAGGGCCCTGGCTTGGCCTCAGATCATCCCAGCTCTGTGGTCAGGGCTGGGCAGAAGGGAGGACTTGAGGTCGGGGGGATTCCAAGGGGAAGATTTCCGAGAGGGAACTCCGGATTGGGGCTTCGAGGGATGTATAGGAGTCCAAGAATGAAAAAGCGGCTCAGGCTTCGCTTGTGCAAAAGGAACAAAAAATTTCAATCAGTGAAGCAGAGAGGGGGAGTGGGAGACTGAAGAGTGGCGAGGCCAGTCCTGCAGGGCCCCCGAGCAGCGGTCTTGGGAGCCATAGAGAGGCTTAGAGCAGGGACCAGTGTTTGAGGAAGGCCCACCTGATGCCTGTGAGGAGGATGGGCGCTGCTGGAGACCTGACCACCACCCCCCCCTTCACAGACATTTGCAGCCAGCCCCTTCTCAGACCCCTTCCAGCTGGATAACCCGGACCCTCAGCCCATCGTGGACGGCGAGGAAGGGCTTATCTGGGTGATCGGCCCCGTGCTGGCCGTGGTCTTCATCATCTGCATCGTGATTGCCATCTTGCTCTACAAGAAGTGAGCCCTCCGTGCTCCCCACCTGACAGGAGGGAGGGCTTCCTGGAGGAGGGAGGTCTGGAAAGGGCCGGAGGGTGGGGAAGAGACCTGGGAGGACATCTCTGACGCCCCCGGTGACACAGATAGGGAGCTGGATCCCGCCAGCGGGCTCAGAGTTGGAGCGAGGCCAGTGATTTGACTCTTGAACCCCACACTCCACTCGGCAAAGCTGGGGGCGTCAGCTGCCTCTTCCAGCTACACGGGGACAGTAGTGGGCTCAGCTTAGGATGAGGGCTGAAACACACCTTGTGTTTGGGGAGCCAAAGAGGAAGCATTAGCCCCTTTTGGAAGACGCCAAGGCTCTAGAGCTTAAGGAGGCCCCCGCCACCCCAGCACACCCTCACCTGTCCTCTTTCTCCCTCTCCCCTTCTCTCCTGGGCCTGCTTCTGAGAGCAGTAAACCCGACAGGTAAGACCTGGCCCTGCCCCCGGAGACCTAAAGCCGGCCTCTGAGGAGGGGGTCGGGTATGTGCCTGCGGGGGACCTGGCTCCCCTGTGCGTGCTCGCTCCTGGGCTCCGCCCTGCCGACGCGCCCCCTCCCCTGCGGTCCCCCACCCGGGGCCGGCGTACTCACGGGTGCTGTTCCTCCCTCGCACGCAGTAAGCGCAAAGACTCGGAGCCCCGCACCAAATGCCTGCTGAACAACGCCGACCTCGCCCCCCACCACCCCAAGGACCCCGTGGAGATGAGACGCATGAACTTCCAGACACCCGGTATGTGCTCACCCCGGGCCAGGAACACACCTGCGCAGCGGGTCGTCCGGGGAGGGGAAGCGGCTGCTTGGCGGACACTCACCCGCCCCGCGGAGCTGCTTGGTGCCGCTCGGCTCCGGTGCCCCGCGCG